ATTAAGCGGCGAGGAAACGCGCTCACACGCGATATGCCTGGTTAGGCGGCTAGAACACTCGTGAGAGCTGCAACTTCAGCTCCGCCCAGGAATGAAACGCAGCTTCGACCGAAGTGCCGCACGTCAGTGCCCATTCTCGCGCTCGACCACCGAGCTTTGAGATAGCTGGCGCCACGCGCTGTTGCTCGGTCTGGAACACGGCGGATGCGATGGCCATCTCGACTCTCACTCGGAGTAGGAGATTTTCTCCATCTTCCCCCTCGAAGACCTTAACGCTCGCCATGAGCGGCTTAGGTCGTGGAAAATCTTCCGTCACTGACGGTGGCGTCATAGACGCAAATGATGCAGACATCTTCGGCTGCAGGTGCTCTAGCAGCGCGTTTTCGCAATTTGAAAACGCCTTTAGACGCGCACTTATTGCCTCGGGGCCTTGCGCAGCAAGGTGTTGCTCACCCTCAGGGCCAAGCAAGGACATCAGCGTGTTAAGCCCGTCCTGCAAGCCCTCAGTCACACCATGCCCATCTCGTGTGACACACACACCTGTTACTAGGGTACGTGTAACCCGTTACATCCACCGTTGCTTGGGAGTCCAACCCTTTAAAACTTTTAGTCGAAAGCTAAGGGACACGCAAGGCGCAGATGTTCTGTACTCCCACAGATGATAAGCTGGAGTTACTCAGCAGCTAAGCTGTTTATGTTTCTACTAGTGACGCCTACACGTACATGTAGTATATAGAAATTTGGAATATTATTTTTTTCTATTTTTTGATTATGATGAGAAACTGATAGTTTTTAAAAACGAATAATATATAGTGTTTCAAAAATAGTAGTATTTACTATTGGTCTGATATTTTTCATCATTATAATTATTTTCTTAGACAGCAAAAAAAAGAAAATAGTTTTTTTAATTGGAATTTAATATAGCTATTTCAACTAGATATTTCTATCTCTTGAACTTTATACCTTTTTTTGCTTTCTGACGTGCGGCTAGCAGCCCGCACACCATCATCGTCATAATTACCGACTCTCGGGTACTTACGAATATTCACAATTACACCAAAATGCAATGTGAATTTCGTACAATTGTATTGTGTGGTACAATAGTTATACAGATACGAGTTCAAAACTTACCACATTCAGGTTACGTATACCTTATTATGGTATGTGTACACCAAGCTATTATTGTCCCTTAAGCTGAGAAACAAACTCCGGAAAAGTGAGATTCGTGGGACATCACCATCAGGGTTTTATTCATGTAAATGATAAATATTAATCAATCTTAATTGATTATAATATACGTCGCTTTTAAAATAAAAAAAACAGAATAGCTCACGGGCTTCGCTCCCATCCTCTGTGCATTTGTTAACGTGGACTCGTTGCGTCAAGGCTTTATTTGTGCCAGGTATGCGGTTTCTGCGCAAGACACCCAGTACCTGACGACGGCTAAAATTTCTGAGCGTTACATTAAAAATCAAACATAGCTAACATTGATACCGAATATATTTGTCTATAGTTTAACCGTGCTTAACGCATATATATCCAAGTCATGGTGGTATTTCGTGATCGTAAAACAAACAGGATACGTACCCCGTTACAGGGAATGTACCGAGACAATGTCAGATTAATCTACAATAACTGTCGAGTGAATTGTTTCAATCTGGGTGGCTTAGAGCCCAAAACATGGCACAGATTAGTAAACCAGAAGAGACTATCTCATGCGAAGCATATGGACTTGTAGAGAACTGATTTTGTCTCGTTCACCATCTGCGATTCCTACATCCTTCTACTTCTGCTTTTATTGCTTTCTATCTCCGCAATCTCGGAGTTCAGTGAAAGAATATTGTAGGTCATAGATGATACGTCGCCGTAGTTATTCGACCAAAGCATGTGGCAGACGACTGCGTGGGCATCGCCCAGCATCGTCAAGCCCGAAAAGACTTTTGCGAGACAATCTCAAGTGTCCGATCGAGAACCACAGTAGATTATGGCAGAGATGGACATGCGGTATGCGTCATTTATCTACTCTAGGTAAATGGCCATAATTTGATCAGCTTACCCAAATCACCCATGCTGATCTTTGAAGTACAAAGAAGAAATTTGCCATAGTAAATATTTCTTTCGTACAATCGAGAATATTGACTACTCCCGCATGTTATAAAACGTTTTAAATTCTGTCTTTGTGCAGGTGACTCGCGCATTTATATCTCACATCCTTGCAAAACGTTCATTTATTTCCCAACGTGACATAATATATCAAAGAGGCTCTTAGTCAAAGCGCATGACGATCTCGTAACGGTAAATGTTTCGTGATCAATAGAATATTTAGCTGCTGTCATTGCCATGATCTGAGGAATACCCTACGCTAGCTATCTGTTGTCACAGCGCCTCTTGATTACTGAGAATCCTTTTAAAAACATGTCCACGAGCATACGGTGTGATATGCATGTTAAAACATTTATATCACACCGTACGCTTGTGGACATGTTATATTGTATCACAGCGATCGACAAAAACTTGCTATAAGCTTGATCGCTTCAGCGGCCATTTCATTGGCTTGACTTCAGCAAAAGATACCTAATTATACTGTAAACTTCAGTAATACTACCAATCATTTTCATTTCTTTGTGGATGGTAAATTTATATTTTACATCTCGCAAAAGTAGCATAGAAAAGCCAAGTACGAACCATAAATCGAATTTCTGCCTGTTACGCTTGAGATTTCCAATATACTAAAGGGCCTCAAGTATTAATCTTTACGTTGTTGACGCGATTTGACTTCGCTCAAGTCCTTAGACTCCCACCAGAGACCCAGAATCTATAAGCGATACCAATCCTTTCTTTGTAATGCGCAATGGAGTCGTGCATACGCTTTGGTGATGAGAACTTCTACATTTGTTGAAAGCAAAGCACGAGATTGTCTCGATTATGCATGTATTAGGTAGCGTCACACCATCAGAAGTTGAAGTAAATAAGTGGGATCAATGGAAAGACTTGAAGGGAAAAGGTGATGTACTAATGCACCTGGATCTCCATGTTTTACACATAGCCGACACATAAGCGATATGTCATTTGAAGCTATAAGTCATTTTATTCATCATTGATGGACGGTGGCACCTGCTGACCTGCTTCAATGGAATCAGCAATCAAACAACTTCCAGCTCTTCTCATCTTTTTGACTTTCTTTGACTAATAATGCACAGGTGTTTCATTAATTATTACTGTACTCGACGTAGAATCCTCACCCTTTGAGCTAAACTACGTCATTCTTGAATTTGCTGACACTTACTCAAGTACTATGGCTGCTGAGTCCCCGACAACCGATTATATGGAGAGGGATAACTCCCGCCCTCAGCGTCGTTGTTTCTGCTGCTCGCTTGGATTAGGTCTCATCATCACAGGCGCCGTCCTTGCAGTGATTGGACTTCTTTACGGCACAATTCTGCCTCCTGTAATCGACAATGTCGTCAAGGATGGCGTTGTGACCTGTGACGCCTCGGAAGGCAACGATGAGGACTTTTTGGATCCGTATGGCGACTGTAAAGACTGTAACCCTTACTACTACAAACTTTATATGATGAATGCGACCAATGCCGAATCATACCTTGCAGGAGACGCTAGCACGCTCCAGGTGCGGGAAATGGGTCCATACACATATCGTCGCCGTGAAATAAAACTTGACGTCAAATTTCTTGACGATGGTAATCGTGTGACATATAAAATGTATTCGTATCATACGTATGTCCCAGAATTGAGCTGCGATGGGTGTTCCGATACCGACGAAGTTGTTACCATGGATTCGAGTTACATGAGCGTCATTGCGGGTGCTGGAGGAGAGATGGCGTTCCTTGTGCGCTTGGCTCTCGGTTCCTTTGCCAGTGGTAGCAACACGAGCGCAGTTCTTAGCCTGGTAGCCCAGAATGGTCAGCAGATGATGCGCTGGATTAATGGACTCAATTCAATGGACCCAGAGGCCATGCGTGTAGTAACCAACAACAGTGCCGTACTAAGTTTTTTGGCAACTGGACCCGCTGCCATTGCCAATATGAGCCTTACAGGATTTGCATATAACGGCATCTTTAACAAGCGCCCCGTTTCGCGATGGGCTCTCGGATTTCCCAGTCTGCTCGCTGGTCTTGGTCTTGGCTCCAATTACATCAATCGATGTGCCGTAAGAGGCGGTTTAAATGAGCAATGTGCTGCATGCAGTAACAGCACAACACCTGAATGTCTAGCAATTTGGGGCGAGTGCAAAAGATGTACCCGTGGCGCTCAAGTCGTGGCTTTAAATGACGAAACATGTGCTATCGTTCAGGCCACATACGCTGCTGCATACGGCGATGAAGAGGCTGCAACCTTTGCTGCAAGCACGTGCCAGTTGTGTAGCGCATTCGGTCTTTGCGCTGCGCCAATTCCTGGTATCGTTGAGTCCAGTGGTCGCGATTTCTCGGTGACACCCCCAAATGCCTCTATTCTTACCTCGTACACAATGCGTACAGGTTGCGACGACAAAAATTTCATTCACGAGTATGAAGAATTCGAAGGTTACCGAGCTACCGCCTTATGGGCCGATCTTGGCGACCGTCGTAATCCAAACCTGTCGGAACTTATCGCTTTCAACACGTACGGCAACTGCGCAGCCCCAACAGCAAACTTGACGTGTATCCCTGTTTTTGGAAACGATGGTACCGGTGTTGCTCCAGGTGGGGTCAGTATTACCGGTTTCAAAGACGACATTACGCAGCCAAACACCACCATCTATATGAAACAGGGACGTCAGAATGTGACGATACTGAATCAGTATGAGGAAGTTGAGTATAAAGACATCACACTGCACCGTTTTCGTCCATCCACTAGCTTGCTCTCAAGAACCGTGACAAACGCTAAGAAGGGCACAGGCTCACCGGTCGACGGGGTACAAAGTATGTCCTTCACAAGAGGCTTCCTGGTTTACATGTCGTACCCTATGTACTTGTATGGCGATGACTCTCTGATGACAAATGTACAAATATCTCTGCTTGATGGTGTTCAAGTGAGCCGAGCGACGCTTTACGAAAGCGATGGTAGACTTTTGCCTCAGTACACGGACAGATTTGAGACTTTCATGGACATTGAAGCTGGTACGGGCAGAACAATGCGTGCACTCAAACGTTTGATGGCTTCATTTGCTCTATCACGGTCTAACAGCAATAGTTCACTCGTCATGAGTGACATTCTCTTCCCAACGTTGCAAAGTGAAGTATTAATTCCCATTTACTGGGGTAACGAAGGATCCACTATCAAAGACTCGCGGGTGGACGATTACGACTCAATTGTTATGCTGCTCGACTCGATGCTACCGGTACTTATCGCGGGCATCGTCGTCGGCCTCTTGATCAGCGGCATTGGCGCTTTCTTCATGCGCAGTCGTCGACAACAGGCTAAGAAGGTATAGGTAAGATGTATCATCACAGATTGTCAAAACAGTCTAATACTGTCACCTGTTTGATAACCTAAAACATACATGTACTGAGGTATTAAAAGTCATATTTAGTATTTTTACAGCTGTATTTTGAATACCTGAATAATATTACGGCAATGTATTCTTACTGACGTAAATTTGGAAATTTATGTTTGAAGTGCACAGTGCCATATTCTAAATACTACAGTCTAGCAGGTATCACGTCTTGCTCTTTAAGAAACTCCGTTCTACGATTCCATTTTTGCAGCTAAAAAGATATCCTTTACGTCAAAACATTTTCAGACCATGTTGATTAATCGGCTAAGATAGTAGAGATGCAGAATCTCGTTTTTTGACGGATGATCAATTGCAATTTCATCAATCTGAAAGTTTATATATTTCATTTACTCTTTAAGTGATTTAGGAGCAAAATCGTACGTTGAGCTTGGAATCATCAATTGGTTATCTTCAACTACAAGTTGTACGACACAGAAAATCGACGAGATATCTTGTTCTCTAGAGTTTATACCTGGCGAGACGGTGAAATGAGCGGCCAGCTGTTATCGCCTGTGCCAGGAGTGGAAGAAACTGGATGTCGCAATTTTCCCGTGACGGATCGGATAGGGTTGAAGACTGACTATAGGTCGTTATCAATAGATTCAGGCTTTAAATATGAAAGTTTTGTCCATCGTTGCCGTGACGTGACGGCTCGATGACTCCGCAAAACCGTGTGATGGGCCTACCGCTCGAAGCAGTTAAGCTTCACGTTGAATGGCGAGAAAGATTATTCACGCGAAAAGGGAATGATCAGGCCGTTCTAAGGGCTAGAAATCCTTAACCTCCAGCTGACGCTGGAAAATTATTCCTCGGGATATATGCACAGAATTGCTAGACGGCGAGGTAACTGGAATGATACGGTCGGGTCGGATCCCAGCATATGTCAAAGATGAATGTGTTATTCGAGATACTGTCAGAGCACTGAGTACGATAGTGAGACAGCTAGGCTCAAGAATTCTACGTATTCATTCTAACCTCTTTCAAGGAGTATCACGATGCGGTGACGAGAAAGCTACTATGAATATTACTCCCGAATAGGGTAGTGCGTCATGAAATT